TGCAAGGTGAAATGAAAGGATACTATAGACACTGACATACAGAAATAAGGATTCTGAGAGATCACTATGAAGAACTGTACATCAACAATTGGATAGCCTAGATGAAATGCACAAATTTCTAGAAACACAAACTTTCCAAGAGTGAACCACAAAGAAACAGAAAAATCTGTAAGCCTATAGCTGAGGAGTTTGAATCAGTAATAATAATAATAAAAAAAAACTCCTGATAAAGAAATGCCCTGGATTAAAGAATTCTACTAACTATTTAATAAAGAACTACTACCAACTCTTCTCCAATTTTTCAAAAAATTGAAGAGGAGGGAACACTTCTTAATTTATTATAAGGACAGCATTATCTTGATCCTAAAGACAGAATAAAATATGACCAAAAAAAGCACCAACCAATGTAAAGGACTATAAATGCAAAAATCTTCAACAAAAGATTAGTAAACCAAATTCAGCTTATTAAAAGACTACATCAGGGGCTGGCACTGTGGCATAGCAGATAAAGCCCCAGCATGCCGTGCTGGCATCCCACATGAGTGCTGGTTCAAGTCCCAGCTACTCCTCTTCAGAACAAGTGCTGCTAATGCAGATCCTAGGAGGCAGTGGTAATGACTCAAATAACTGGGTTCCTACTATCCACATGACACCAAGAATGAATTCCTACTCTTGGCTTTGGCTTGGCACAGCCCTGGCCATTGAGGGCACTTGGGGAGTAAACCAGCAGATAAAAGCTCTCCTTCTGGTCGGCGCCGCGGCTCATTGTGCTAATCCTCCGCCTAGCAGCGCCGGCATACCGGGTTCTAGTCCCAGTCGGGGCGCCGGATTCTGTCCCAGTTGCCCCTCTTCCAGGCCACCTCTCTGCTATGGCCAGGGAGTGCAGTGGAGGATGGCCCAGGTGCTTGGGCCCTGCACCCCATGTACCTGGCTCCTGCCATCGGATCAGTGCAGTGCGCCAGCCTCAGTGCACCGGCCGCGGCAGCCATTGGATATGGGCCATGAAGGGTAAGGGTGTTGGTGAAACAAGACCACCCATGCCTGCATGTGAGTTCAGCGTTCAACTCTATTTTTACTTTTCTTATGTTTATTTGTTTTATTTACTTGGAAGGCAGAGAGAAAAATGGAGAGCTCCCACCTACTGGTTCACTCCCCAGATGCATACAACAGGCAGGGCTGGGAACACTGGGTCTCCCAAGTGAGTGGCAGGGACTCAACCATTTGACAGAGTTGGGACTTGAATCCAGGCACTCCAATATAGGATGCAGGTGTCCCTCTCTAGTGGCATATTACTCTCATAAACACCCACCCCTCTCTCTTGTACCTCTCAAATTCTCCATGATGAAGCTTTTGATAACTAGACAAAAAAAAAAAATCCTCCATTTTAATACAATATTTAAAATGTCTGCTTTGTTATGGCCTTGCCTAAATACTGACGGAGTCTATGAATTAAAAAAGCTTCCATAGCCTAGACAGCTCATGTCAAAAGCCTTAGGTGATTACTGACATCACACATAAGAGTACTAATTATTAAATTAACAAGAGTCACCGCACACTAACTTCCCATGTAGGACCTCTGTCCTCAAAGAGTTGTATTCTAATTAAGACTAAGTGCTTGCAAAAGATGTATCATTCTTGGGTGTTTTTTTTTTTTTTTTTTGACAGGCAGAGTGGACAATGAGAGAGAGACATAGAGAAAGGCTTCCTTTTGCTGTTGGTTCACCCTCCAATGGCTGCCGCAGCCGGCGCACCACGCTGATCCGATGGCAGGAGCCAGGTACTTCTCCTGGTCTCCCATGGGGTGCAGGGCCCAAGTACCTGGGCCATCCTCCACTGCACTCCCGGGCCACAGCAGAGAGGTGGCCTGGAAGAGGGGCAACCGGGACAGAATCCGGCACCCCGACTGGGACTAGAACCCGGTGAGCCTAGTGAGCCGCGGCGCTGGCCTCTTGGGTGCTTCTTTAAAGTTAATTGAGTTACTAAGGAAAAAAAAGAAGCGAAATTAACTTCAAGATGCAATGACGGGCCGGCGCCCTGGCTCACTTGGCTAATCCTCTGCCTGTGGTGCTGGCACCCCAGGTTCTAGCCCCACCTGGGGTGCCGGATTCTGTCCCAATTGCTCCTCTTCCAGTCCAGCTCTCTGCTGTGGCCTGGGAAGGCAGTGGAGGATGGCCCAAGTGCTTGGGCCCTGCACCCGCATGTGGAGACCAGGAGAAGCACTTGGCTCCTGGCTTCGGATTGGTGTAGCTGGCCAGCCATAGCGGCCACTTGGGGGGGTGAACCAACGGAAGGAAGACATTTCTAACTCTGCCTGTCAAAAAAAAAAAAAAAAAAAATGCAATGACTGGGGGCCGGCGCTATGGCATAGTGGGTAAAGCCACCAGTGCAGTGAAGGCATCCCATATGAGCGCAGGTTCAAGTCCTGGCTGCTCCACTTCCAATCCAGCTTACTCATTTTTGTGCTTCTGACCAACTAAGACACAAAACTATTTCCCTCATCCTAGATGTTCACTTAGTTTCTTTCCTGCTCCTCTCTTTTAAAAAACTCTCAAATGAATAACCTAGTGAATCTTATTAAAAAAAAACTACTAAAGTGGCTCAAAAGATTAAGCCTCTTTATACACACTGCCCTACATGAAAGATGTACTGAGACTGCCCATTTCACATGTCCTGTCAATACTGAGTAATGACTTTTTTTTAAATTTATTTGACAGGTAGAGTTATAGACAGTGAGACAGAGAGAAAGGTCTTCCCTCCATTGGTTTACTCCCCAAATGACCACCATGGCTGGCACTGAGCCGATCCAAAGCCAGGAGCTTCTTCCTGGTCTCCCATGCGGGTGTAGGGGCCCAAGCACTCGGGCCATCCTCCACTGCCTTCCCAGACCACAGCAGAGAGCTGGACTGGAAGAGAAGTAACCGGGACTAGAACCCAGCGCCCATATGGGATGCTGGCACCACAGGCAGAGGATTAGTCAAGTGATCCACAGCACCAGCCCCTGAGTTATGACTCTTTATTAATAATCATAGCAAATCTGGTTTCTTGCTTTTAATCTATGTTTATTTGTGAAGCTAAGTTTTGTCATGCTTTTCTTTTTCTGTTTTTCCCTTCCATTTACATTTCTTATATTCACTTTAAAAAAAAGAGAGATTTACTTATTTATTTGAAAGCCAGAGAGAAGGAGCAAGACAGAAAGAGATCTTCCATCTGCTGGTTCACTCCCCAAATGTCCGCAATGGCTGGACTGGGCTGATCTGAAGCCAGGGTGTCTTCCAGGTTTCCCACTTGGGTGCAGGGGCCCAAGCACTTGGGCTATCTTTCACTGCTTTCCCACACACATTAGCAGGAAGCTGGATTGGAAATGGAGCAGCCGGACTCGAACCCATACCCACATGGATGCCAGCACTGCAGGTGAATGTTTTAACCTTCTATGCCACTGCACCAGCCTCACATTTCTTATTTTATACCTGAGTTATATTCTTTGCTCCACACAACTACCTACTTTTCACTCAGCTATCTTGGTCTTACTGATTATTTTACAATAATGTATATTCTGGGCTTGTAATCTCAAAGTAAACATATTAAAGGTAAAACATCTAAATACGTAACCATTTCCATTTCTTCCATTCTTATTCTCCTGTATAGCCTCAGGAATAACTTAGATTTTTTTATACTAGCTCAGGAAGTATTAATATTGGATTTTTATTTTATCCATAAAACCAAGTGTTAGGAGGATAAAGCATTGCCCCCCAGGTGACACAGCAGGCCTAATATTGCTTCTCTTGCTATCATGACATTTCATCAGTTCTAAGATGCACACTATTCATATTTTAACATCTCAGAAATTGGGATCCAATTATAAAGTGAGTCCATATCACAGTTTCACTGGCAGCTCATTACATTTTTCTTAGTAATATTAAATAACATGTCTGACCATCAACAGCATTTTAAACACACTGAAATACAATCTCACCTGGCCAAAGACCCAGCAGGTGGCAACCAAGGCTTCTAGCAAACAGTCACTCACCACACACTCTCCTGAGGCCCTCCCTTGGAGCCTGTCCACTCTAACAACTGAGTAGCCACCAAACTCAGAATACTGAAAACAGTGAAGACATAAAAACAGCTCTGAGAAAGGCTGGCTGGCACACGACAGCAGTGACACATGAGAAAATGTGATGGCAGGCTACCAGGACTACCATTGGAAGCAATGCTAAAACTTGGTGAGGTGCCTGCAGAGTGGCACAGTGGGCTAAGCTCCTGTCAGCAACACTGGCATCTCAAATGGGTGCCAGTTTATGTCCTGACTGCTACACTTCTGATCCAACTTCCTGCTGATGTACTTTAGGAAGCAGAAGATGGCCCAAGTGCTTGGGATATCCACAAGGGATATCCAGATGAAGCTCCTGGCCTTGGCCTGGCCTGGCCCTGACCATTGAGGCCACCGGAGGAGTGAACCAATGAATTGAAGAGCTCTCTGTCTTTCCCTCTCTTGCTCTCTGTAACTCTGCCTTTCAAATAAATAAATCTTTAAAAAACAAAGAGAAGGGGCCGGCGCCGTGGCTCACTAGGCTAATCCTCCGCCTAGCGGCGCCGGCACACTGGGTTCTAGTCCCGGTCGGGGCGCCGGATTCTGTCCCGGTTGCCCCTCTTCCAGGCCAGCTCTCTGCTGTGGCCAGGGAGTGCAGTGGAGGATGGCCCAAGTGCTTGGGCCCTGCACCCCATGGGAGACCAGGAGAAGCACCTGGCTCATGGCTTCGGATCAGCGCGGTGCGCCGGCCACAGTGGCCACTGGAGGGTGAACCAACGGTAAAGGAAGACCTTTCTCTGTCTCTCTCTCTCACTATCCACTCTGCATGTCAAAACAAACAAACAAAAACCAATACAGTGTGGTAGGCAAGGCTGGCTCTGCCTTGCTGACTGCTTTACTTCCTTCTTGGTCGGCTGGCCCAAGCCCGCCTTCTGAACTACTACAGCCACCAACCCCATAAAATACTTACTACTCCTTTAGAAAGATAGTTATTGACAAAGTCCTTCCAAGTAATTTCTCTCCCCGAGCTCTTGAACAAGAAGTAAAGCATGATTCCACCCCAAAACAGAGCAGTCCAGAGAAAGTACATCCTGAAGTCCTTGTCGTCCCATGGAAAGTCACCCTGGCAAAAAGGAAGACAGTTTCCGTGAAAAACAAAACTGGCCCACAACGATCCACACCATGTGACACAAATCCCTCCCAACCTTTCCGGGGGTCCCCATCGGAACCTCCAAATGAACAAAGTTTAGAATCAGACCTTCTGGAACCTGGACCACCAGTGAGAATCATCTTTCTTGCTGCTTCGCTTTCCACCGCCACCACCGCCTCCTCCAGAAGAGCGTGAGGTAGATGCTGGTTTTGATTCTGTTCACAGAAAAACAGCACACACAGCACGGCAGGTTTTATCTCTCACAATGTTTTCATTATTTAGATGAATAAATGACTTACTAAACGATACATGATAGCAACCTACAAGTTACTAAATAAAGCACTGAGATAGGATGCAAATACAAAACAGTAACATTCAAGGAGATTCCAGATATTCTACCACATTATCTCATGAAATGTGCACAATAACCCAATGGCCTGAGAGGTATGCTATTATACCCATCTCAGAGGAAGAAAGTAGAGCTTAAGTAATTTGTGGGATCACTTGGTGCAGTGGTTTTTTTTTTAAGATTTATTTATTTTTATTTTATTATTTTTTGACAGGCAGAGTTAGTGAGAGAGACAGAGACAGAGAGAAAGGTCTGCCTTTTTCTGTTGGTTCACCCCCCAAAATGGCCGCCACGGCTGGCGCACTGCGCCAATCCAAAGCCAGGAGCCAGGCGCTTCCTCCAGTCTCCCTTGCAGGTGCAGGGCCCAAGGATCTGGGTCATTCTCCACTGCCTTTCCGGGCCACAGCAGAGAGCTGGACTGGAAGAGGAACAACCGGGACAGAATCCAGCGCCCCAACTGGGACTAGAACTCAGGGTGCTGGCGCCACAGGGGGAGATTAGCCAAGTGAGCCATGGAGCCAGCCAACTTGGGGCAGTGTTAATAACAGAGTTGGGCAAGCAAAATCCTGCACCCCTGCTCAATGTTAAAAAGTGAGGACTCCCCTTTCCCACTCCCACAAAGCACTGCTTGTTGTAAACAAAAGTCATGACTGATCATTGGCAAAAAGAAAAAAAAAACCACACAAAATTAGTCTGCAACAATCTAAATTAATCAGTTATGTGCTGAACTGTAGGCGTCCCCAAATCCAGGTGCTAATGCCCTAAGCCTCAGCACTCAGACTATGGCCTTACTTAGAGACAGGATCTCTACAGGAGGAAACCAAGTTAACATGAGGTCATCAGGGTCATAATGGTGTCATTATAAAAAGAGGACATTTAGAAAATACACACACACACACACACACACACACACACACACAGAGCAAGTGATTTGAAGAGACCTGGAGAAAGACAGTGAACTACAAGCCTTGAACAGATTCCCCCTCAGCCCTGAACTGCCTGCTGCTGACCCCTTGCTGCTGGATTTCTAGCCTCCAAGCCTATGAGACACTCAGTCTCCCCAGCCGGTGACATCGTGTAACAGCAGCCTTAGCACACTACTGCATCACAAACACCTTCACTTCTTTCCCCTCTTCTCTCTCTTGAAGATCAACAAATTGCATTTTTTAAAAGATTTTATTTATTTACTTGAGAGGTAGAGTTACAGACAGTGAGAGGGAGAGACAGACAGAAAGGTCTTCCGTCCATTGGTTCACTCCCCAAATGGTCGCAACTGCTGGAGCTGCGCCAATCCGAAGCCAGGAGTCAGGAGCTTCCTCCCAGTCTCCCACGTGGGTCCAGGGGCCCAAGGACTTGAATCATCTTCCACTGCTTTCCCACGCCATAGCAGAGCGCTGGATTGGAAGAGAAGCAGCCGGGCCCAACAAATCGCATTCTAAAGTCTACAACCACCAGCAGCAACCCCTCCAGTGTCAGAATGGGAGGCTGCAGTACCCAGTCATGCTCAGTGCCATGACACTGTGGCTTTACGACATACTCACCACACTGTGCTGAGTTCACAGAGCCCCTGTACCCATCTCAAATGAAGCCAAGTCAGGGTGGGCTATGATATGCATGAACCTCCCCTCTGCCAAGGCCCCCGACTGGGAAACACAGCAACAGCATACCACTCAAGCTGTCTGACAACACTGCAACCTACTGTGGGACACAGCAACACAGATACAAAAGGTACCCAAGCTTGTACACATAAAATGCACATATTCTCACTACTCTGCTCCTAAACCAAGATGCAAGGACTATCTGCTGTGCCCTGAGAAAACTGGCAGCTGCCTGTGTTGCCAACACTGCAGCCCAGAACCCCAGGGACATAACCCATGCTAGTGTTTCTCCCTCCTCTGACCTCCTAGCCTTGCTTTTCCAATCCCTGTATTCTTGGAGCACATTATTTGTCTCTCCAACTAGATGCTAAGCTTATTTAAAAACAAGGAGGACAGGCATACAGTGTAGCGGGTTAAGCCACTGCTTGTTGACACCCAAATCCCATATGGGAGTGCCAGTTCAAATTCTAGCTACTCTGTTTCCAATCCAGTTTCCTGCTAATGCACTTGGGAAGCAGCAGATGATCGCTGAAACACCTGAGTTGCTGCCACCCATATGAGAGACCCAGTTGGGGCTGGCTCCCAGCTTCAGCCCTGGCTGTTGGAGGCATTTAGGGAGTAAACCAGCAGATGGAAGATCTCTTTGTCTCTCCCTGTCACTACGCCTTTCAAATAAATAAATCTTAACCAAACAAACAAGGTTGAATTCTATTTTTTCTCACAACTCCCTAAAAAGGTAAGATGTCAGGTGAATGCCAACATATGCTAAATGTTATCACACTCATGAAATGAAGGCAAAAGCTCAGGGCCCACAGAGCCCCTTCAGCCACTCAGCTCTAAGAAACCCTGTCTGGCAAGTTGGCACTGTGGCGCAGCAGGTTAAAACCCCAACATCCCATCTGGGCCCCGGTTCGAGTCCCAGCTGCTCCACTTCCGATCCAGCTCCCTATTAATGCGCCTGGGAAAGCAGTGGAAGATGGTACAAGTGCTTGGGCCCCTGCACCCATATAGGAGGTCCCGAAGAAGCTCCTGGCCCCTGGCTTCTGATCGGCTCAGCTCCAGCCGTTGCAGCCATTTGGGGAGTAAACCAGTAGATGAAAGATCTCTCTCTGCCTCTCTGTAACTCTGCCTTTCCAATAAGTAAAATAAATCTTAAAAAAAAAAAAAAAAAAAGGCAGAAACCCTGTCTGAAGAGTTTTGGGAATATTAGGTTATCAGAACAATTTCAAAAAATAGTGTATTATACCCCAATATACATTACATAAATGAGATGTATTAGCTAAGACTTTTCTCAATGGCTTAAATTATGTGTCAGACATCTACCAAATATACTGAGTTTGATCAGTCAGTATCTCTAAGGTGATTAGAGATAACTAATTTACTTTAACCTAAAAATGACAGGAAAATACAAACAGAAAATTAAGGTGCAACGAAACACAGGATGTAAATCTTTCATGCACACATAACCTACAGTTTCAGAAGTGATTTACGGTAACTCTTTATTCGGTACAAACAATTACCATCATATGTTAGGGAAAAACAATAAAGCCAAACAAATCTTTGTTAAAAAGTACCTTTTTTCTCTCCCACAGCTTCTTTAGGTTCACTAGCATTTTTTCCATTTTTCCCATTCGGAAAGTATTTTTCAAATCCTGTTAGAAAAGGAAAAAATACACATCCTCAAAATAAAATTCATCAAGGTGTACGTGTGCTCATTTGCTTTTAAACCAGCTGATACATCATCAAACATATAAGCCAGGGGCCAGTGCTGTGGCACAGCGGGTAAAGCCGCTGCCTGCAGTGCAGGCATCTCATATGGGCACCAGTTTGAATCCCAGCTGCTCCACTTCCCATCCAGCTCTCTGCTATGGCCTGGGAAAGCAGTGGAAGATGGCCCAGGTCCTTGGGCCCCTGCACCAGCGTGGGTGGCCCAGAAGAAGCTCCTGGCTTCAGATTGGCACAGCCGGCCGTTACGGCCATCTGGGGAGTGAACCAGTGGACGGATCTTTCTGTCTGTCTCTTCCTCTCACTATCTGTAACTCTACCTCTCAAATAAATAAATAAATCTTAAAAAAAAAAGTACATGAAAGTCTAATGCAGCTTACAACCCTCAAGTATTAAAGAGGAAAGCCTCCTTTGCATGCCAATTTCACTATCTATAAAACGCTTAGTATTTGAGGGTGACATATTTTCATCGCTGTAATCAGAAAGAAGCTGGAGGTGCAGACTGGTTACAGGAGACAGAAGAGTCAACCTGAAACTAAACCCGTGTACCAGCGCAGGAAACCCTGCTGACGACACGTCTCTTCAACATTGCAGCCACACCTGTGTGCTTACCTTTCGGCGGGCGAGAACAAAATCTCTGATAAGCAGCAATCATATCTGTCAAGAGGGAATTTCTGCTGGCTGCCGCCTGAGTTGTAGCATATCGGTAAAACTGCAACACAACAGAAAAATCAAAGCATGAAGGCCATATCAAGATAACAAATGCAAGAGGGCTTTACTTCCTAATACCAGAGTGGGTGGAATGTTTCCCCCTTGCACAGCAGTTTTAACTAGCACAGAACACCACCCCCTCAGGACAGCAAGGGTTATCAGCAGTCTGCCACTCTGTTCCAGCAACAGAGCCAGGAAACAAACATCATTACCCAGAAGACAAGAATACTTCAAAATCGAACATCATTTAAAATTGTGGATCACTGTCACTACAATTACCTGACAGCGGTCACTCTGGCAATGTTTACTTAATCTCCAGTAATATTTAAAAGACAAACTCAGACACAGAAAAACCTGCTGCTTCATGCTGACTCACTGACATGATCTGACACACAGCAAGACATTTACCTGAAATTACAGACCGGTGCTGCCAGTCAACCTAGTTCTAAATTTATGTAAGTTCAACCATAAGAAGTTATGGTCCAACACCACTGATAATTTTTTAGAAAGATTTACTTATTTACTTGAAAGTCAGAGTTAGAGATATCTTCCATCTGCTGCTTCATTCCCCAAAAGGCTGCAATGGCCAGAACTGGGCCAAGTGGAAGCCAGGAGCTTCTTCCAGGTCTCCTACATGAGTGCCCAAGGACTTGGGCCATCCTCTACTGCTTGCCAAGGCACGTTAGCAGGGAGCTGGATCAGAAGTAGAGCAGCCAGGACTCAAACTTGCACCATATGGGACGCAGCACTGCACGTGGTGATTTAACCAGCTGCCACAGTACCAGCTCCAGCCACTGATTTTTTTTTTTTTTTTTTTGACAAGGCAGAGTGGACAGTGAGAGAGAGAGAGAAAGGTCTTCCTTTGCCGTTGGTTCACCCTCCAATGGCCGCCGCGGCTGGCGCGCAGCGGCCGGGGCACCGCGCTGATCCGATGGCAGGAGCCAGGTGCTTCTCCTGGTCTCCCATGCGGGTGCAGGGCCCAAGCACTTGGGCCATCCTCCACTGCACTCCCTGGCCACAGCAGAGAGCTGGCCTGGAAGAGGGGCAACCGGGACAGAATCCGGCACCCCGACCGGGACTAGAACCCGGTGTGCCAGCGCCGCAAGGCGGAGGATTAGCCAAGTGAGCCGCGGCGCCGGCCTGATAATTCTTATACTATCAACATTTGCTAAAAATACCTGATATACTGTCATCTTGGTATCATGGTGATACAAGTTCCATTACAAATATTTTCCTACTTTATACAACATGTTGCAAAAAAGCTGTCTGTAAACACACTAAATAAAGTATAAAACATATTAATAAGCCAAAGGAGCTCCCTATTACATTTTTAGACGTACAATTAAAAACAATCAATAGCAAGGGACACTGAGGGAAAATGTCCAAATCTGACACTTACAAAGTTCAAGTAATCCCAACCTTTTGCCAACTGAACATTTACCACTATTTTTTTGGAGTGGGGACAGGCATTTAAATACAGGTGGGAAGGTTTCATGTGAAGCTCATCTGTAGTAAAATCTTTCACCATTTGCCTCTTTTACGGCCTAAGAAGAAAATCAAAACTTCACAGGACCAAGTAAAACCACTTCACATCCACTAGGGTGGCCATAATCAAAGACAACAAATACTGCTGAGAACTGCAGCCCTTGTACATCGCTGGTGAGAACGTAAAACTGTGCAATCACTGTGGATTTTTCACAACGTTAAATGTAAAGGTACCATATGATCCAGCAATTCCACTCCCACTCAAATTGAAAACATAGATCCTCAAAAAATGTGTGTCAATGTTCAGAGCAGCATTATTTATAGCAACCCCCAAATGTGGACAACTCAAATGTCCTACTGCTGCTGACTGGATAAATAAAATGTGGTACATCCACAAGTGGACTATTCACCCATAAAAAGGGTACTGATGCATAGATAAACCCTGAAAATACACTACGTATATGAAGCTAGACAGGTTATACATTGTCTGATTCCAATTATGTGAAATATTCAGAACAGGGCTAAGCGGATGGTTATAGTGAAACCGAGAGTGGCTACTAAAGGTTATGGGACTTTTTTTTTTTTTTTTGGAGTGATGAAAATGTTTGTTTTGGAATAGGGACTGTGATGGTTTAATAACCTTGCATATAAGTTAAAAACCCCTGGACTGCACATATTACGATGATGGATTTGATGACATGTGAACAAAACTATCAACAGAAGCATGAGCTAATTCACTGGGCGACAGGGCCACGGCAAAGGGAGGCCTTTTGGATGAGATTCCCAACATAAAAATGGCAAACTCACAAGGCAGATCCCTACCTGCCCTTTGTATGTCTGAGTCCAATATTTAGGGGCAAGAGGAAAGGGATCAAAGCAGGACAGGATGAGAAAATGGATGTCATGCAAGGGCAGCTGGGAGTAGGAAACGGATGAGAACTAAGGAATCAACAAAAGACTAGCGAGGGTGCTTCAAGGTAAAAATCGTGAATGCAGTAGTCAGTCCTCCATATTCCGGGACCCCACATCCTGGGACTCAGGGGACTGCACCAGGCACAGACTGAAAATATTCGAGAGGCTGCCACTTGTGATGCTGTCAAGTGCAGTCCCAGCTGCTCTGCTTCTGACCCAGCTCCCTGCTGCAGCACCTGCGAAGGCAGCAGATGAACCAACAGCTTGGGCCCCTGCACCCAAATGGGAGACCTGGATGGAGTTTCAGGCTCCTGGATTAGGCCTGGCCCAGCCCCAAGCAAGTCCTTGGTGCCATTTTGGGAATGAACCAGCAGACAGAAGACCCACCTCTCTCTAATAAATAAATCTTTTAAAAAATAAAATTTGGAGGAAAATATTGCACCTACTGAACACGATTCAAAGTATACGAAAGAATGTGCATAGATTACATGCACTCAATACTGTTTTATATAGGGGATTTGAGCATCCTTGATGGAGCCCATTCCCCACGAACACCATGGGGTCACTGTACTATTACTCCCTCCTTTTAAGTGTCTCGGGCCATTAAGTGGTCAAGCCAACTTCCGATGGCTGACCCCAGGGCCTCAATCATGTTATGCACCGCTAAGGGCTGACAAGCCGCAGCTGTGTCAGCCAACAGCTGACACCCACTAATCAATACACCTTCCCTGAGACAGACGCCTGCCTGGTTCTGTCAACACTAGCATCACACTGCGCCCTGCACAGGGCTTGTTACCACTCAAGAGAAACAGCCTCCTGATGAGGGCAGGCCCTGTTATGTAACCAAATACGTAGTTACCACCCTGTGGAAGTGGCATTTTTGATACTGAGAATTCGTAGTTATTGGTATCTCCTAGGGCCAGTCTCAGAAGGCCAGCAACAGGCCCAATCCACAGCTGGGAAAACAAAGGACGCGGGGCCTTGCTCCAAATCTTCCGACTGCACAAGCCCCGCTGCGACCCTGAAATACACACACACCACACGCGTTCTGTTTTCCAAGGTCATAAAAGCAGGTAAAACACGCCGCGCCGTGACCCACGCAGGTTTCTGTTGCCTGCTGAGGACCAAGACCCGGCTCCACCACAGATGAGCGTTTCCCAGACGGAACCTAACACCCAGGGCCGGCCACACGAGAGCGCCCGCGGCACCACGGACACCGGGCCGGAGGGCCAGGTGCTCGGCTCGGACCCCACCAGGCACGCGGCCTCGTTCCCCAGGGGCCCGGCTGCGGCTCCGGCAGGGCGGTGACCTTGACGCCCGCTCGCGGCCGTAAGCAGGCTACCGGCAGGGCAAAGGGCGCCGGCCGCCCGGGACTCACCCTCCGGAGGCAGGGCCGCTGGCTGAGGCCCAGGCCGGCGCCAGGCACGAGCAGCGGCGGGAGGCCGCGGGGCCAGCAGCCGCCCCGGCCCCACAGCAGCAGGCAGCGGTGCGCCATGGCCGCCTGAGCGGCCCGCAGCGCCCCAGCGCTGCGCAGGCGCGGCGTATGCCGCCCACCGGCGGCCTCGGAAGCGGACTCGGCTCCGGCGAGAGCGGCTGCCGGGGAGCGCAGCCGGCCAAAGGCTCGCGAGGGAGCCCACGCCCCAAACACGCGCGTCTTCTCCCGCCGGCCCCGCCCCGGCGTGCCGACGTCGGCGTCCCCTCCGGGGGCCGGCTGCGACCCCAGGCTGGGCTGAAGGCGGGGCCTAGGGAGAGCAGCGCGGAGGGCGAGCGGAAAGCGTAGCCAAAGAGAGACGGGCTACGAAAGCGTGGGGCGGGGCCAAGAGGCACGCTTTCTAGAGTAGGGAGGGAGCCAATAGGAGGGGCGTGCTGTGGAGTGGGAGTGGGCGTGGGCGTGGCTAGCGTGGGCTAGCATATTGATAGGCCGCCGTGAGGGCAGGGGGCGGGACCTAGGGGGAAAGCGCGGAGGGCGAGTGGGGCGGTGAACATAGAATGGGGCGGGGCTTGAGGTGGGGCCAATGGGGACGAAGAGGCTGGAGGCGGGGCATAGGCAAGAGGGTCGAGCCAGGAGGCGCCAAGGGCTAGTGGCGGAGGTTTTCGGGGCTGCCCCCCTGAGCCGTTCTGTCTCTCAGGACTAGATGCTTTCACCTTTTTAGCATTCATGCTCTCGCCCAGTCACTGGTAAAATATATAATTGCTCGTCTGCCCACTGCCGAGCGTCGTGCCAAGCATCACGAGTCAGTTGGGCTGAACTCTGTAACAGCTCTCCTGGGCCCGACAGGAAGGTCTCAGGGAGTGAGACTGCGGAGTAGAAAGGGAGGACTTTGTAGGAGGATCCTCCGTGAGCTCTGCCAGTGACTGTGTCTGCTGTCGCGGATGGGAGAGGAACAGAAAAGGCGGGCGAGTGAAGAGGCGGCCTCAGAAAGCCGCGGGGGGGGGGGGCATCTGGAAGAACAGACGTGAGGAGGTCAATGACTATCTGACCTGTCCAAATGGCAAGCACCCAGATTTTGACAGCCCGCTCGCTGCTGGCCAGACGTTCTCAGAAACAACCGTCGGCCAGCCCCCGGGAGGGAATTTGGCGGTGCCTTCCAAAATGTCAAAGGCATGGACTCCAAGCCAGTTATCCCATTTATGGACACGTGCAATGGTGACATATAAAATGCTGTGAGCACAAGGTTAACGTGTGTAATGGCAGCATTATTTGCAGTAGCAATGACTGAAAATGACCCAAGTGTCCATCTGTAAGACCTGGTTAAAACTATGAAAAAAGCCACACAGTACAAAACGATGCAGCAATTTTTTAATGAGAAATTTTCTGTTCCCAGATAATATAGAGTAGCAGGGCCTGCAACGACCAAGAAATACAAAAAGCAAAATACCTGAAGTATGGTTTTGAAGACGTCAAACACCAGGCAGTGATGGCCAGCAACCCCGAGAGCCAGGAGACTGCCAAGGTGAGCCCTGGGATAACCTCGCTGTTTCCAGGCGCCCCCACCCACTGCCGGCACACAGGAGTCCAGGCGGAGGCTCCCAGCCTCCTCGAGTTTGAGGCAATGGACACAGGAGTCAGGGCAGGTCCATAATGAGGACAAAACTCCAGTGACCGAGAGTGACTCAGAGGCACTGTGGCACAGCGGGCTAAGCTGATGTCTGCAGTGCCAGCAACCCATATGGGTGCTGGTTCAAGTCCCGCCTGCTCCACTTCCGATCCAGCTCTCTGCTATGGCCTGGGAAAGCAGCAGAGTTCTTGAACTCCTGCTCCATGTGGGCTGGCCCCCAGCTGGCCTGGCACAGCTCAGCCATTGCAGTGATTGTGGGTGTGAACCAGTGCCTTTTTTTCTCTTTTCTCTTTCTCTCTTCCTCTCTTTCTTTTCCCTTTCCTTTCTTTTCTCTTTTTTAAGATTTGCTTATTTATTTGAAAGAGTTACAGAGAGAAAGATCTTCCATCTGATGTTTCATTCCCCATATGACTGCAATGGCCGGGGCTGGACAGGCCAAACTAGGAGCCTGGAGCCCTATCTGGAACTCCCACATCAGTGGCAAAGGCCCAAGCACTTGAACCAACCCCTGCTATCTTCCCAGGCACATTAGCAGGGAGCTGGATTGAAAGTAGAGCAGCTGGAACTTGAGCCAGTGCTCATATGGGATGCTGGCTTTGCAGGAGGTGACTTAACCCACTTTGCCACAACACTGGCCCCAAACAAATCTTTAAAAAAAAAAAAAAACTTATTGGGGCCGGCACTGTGGTGCAGCGGGTTAAAGCCCCAGCCTGCAGAGCCAGCAGCCCATATGGGCGCTGGTTCGAATCCTGGCTGCTCCTTTTCCAATCCAGCTCTCTGCTATGGCCTGCGAAAGCAGTAGAAGATGGCCCAGCTCCTTGGGCCTCTGTATCCGCATGGGAGACCCAGAAGAAGCTCCTGACTCCTGGCTTTGGATCAGTGCAGCTCCGGCCATTGTGGTCATTTGGGGAGTGAAGCAGCGGAATGGAAGATACAGCTCTCTCTCTCTCTCTCTCTCTGCCTCTCCTTCTCTCTGTGTGTAACTCTGACTTTCAAATAAATAAAATAATTTTTAAAAAGACTTGAAAGGCCTCAGAACCAGGGCAACCAGGGTGTTGTTCCTAATCCAAAGGCCTGAAAGCCAGGATGCCACTAGTGAGATCCTGAGTCCCATGGCCAGGGGACCTGGCGTTCTGAGGTCCAAGGACGGGAGAGTGAGGGTGTCCCTGCTGCACAGGAGGGAGACAGAACTTCCCCGTCCCTGCCTTTTTGTTCTGCCTGGCCCCCAGGTGTTTGGATGGTGCCTGCCCATATTGAGGCGAATCCACTCCACTTAGTCCACCACCTCACAAGCCAGTCTGCCCTGGAAATTCCCTCACAAATAATGCCTTACCAGTTCTCTAGATACTGCTTAATCCAGGCAAGTTGACACCTAAAATTAACCATTGCAACCAGTGATTTAAAATAAAATTCGTGGGCTGGCATTATGGTGTAGTGGGTAAAGCCACTGTCTGTGATGCCGGCATCCCATATGTGTGCTGGTCTGGGAGCCAGCTGCCCCACTTCTGATCCAGCCCCCTGTTGATGGCGTAGGAAAGCAGTGAAAGGTGGCCCAAGTGCTTGGCCCTCTGCCACTCACGTGGGTTACCCCAATGAAGCTTCTGGCTCCTGGCTTTGGCCTGGCTCAGCCCTTGCTGTTGTGGTCACTTGACAAATGAACTAGTAGGTGGAATGTCTCTCTCTCTCTCTCTCTCTCTCTCTTTCCAACAAAATAAATAAATAAAATTAAAAATCCTGGGGTAAACTTTTAGCACAGTGGTTAACATGCCCTGATCACATCACAGAGCCCGAGTTCAAGTCCCAGCTCTGCTTCTGGTTCCAGCTTCCTGCTAATGTGCACCCTGGGAGAAAGCAGGTGATGGCTCAACCGCTTGGGTCCCCGTCACTCATGTGGGAGATATAGATGGTGCTCCTGGCTCCTGGCTTTCCCTGGCTGTTGCAGCCATTTGGGAAATGAATCAGCAGATGGAAGATCTGTGTGTGTATGTGTGTGTGTGTTTCCCTCTTTCTCTGTCACTTTGCCTTTCAAATAAATAAATATTTTTTAAAGATTTATTTATTTATTCGAAAGTCAAAGTTATACAGAAGAGAGGCAGAGAGAGAGAGAGGTCTTCCATCCGATGGTTCACTCCCCAACTGGCTGCAACTGCTGGAGCTACGCCAATCTGAAGCCAGGAGCCAGGAGCCTGCTCCAGGTCTCCCACACAGGTGCAGGGGTCAAAGGACTTGGGCCATCTTCTACTGCCTTCCCAGGCCATAGCAGAGAGCTAGATCAGAAGTGGAGCAGCCGGGACTTGAACTGGCGCCCATATGGGATGTTGGTGCTTCAGGCCAGGGCATTAACCCGCTGTACCACAGCGCAGGTCCCAATTAATATTTTTTTTAAAAAAGTATCTTCGGGGCTGTCGCCGTGGCTCACCTGGTTAATCCTCCGCCTGCAGCACCGGCATTCCACATGGGCACCGGATTCTGTCCCTGTTGCTCCTCTTCCAATCTAACTCTCTGCTGTGGCCCAGGAAGGTGGTGGAGGATGGCCCAAGTGCTTGGGCCCTGCACCTGCATGGGAGACCAGGAGGAAGCACCTGGCTCCTGGCTTCAGATCAGCGTAGCGCGCTGGCCATGGCGGCCATTAGGGTAGTGAACCAGTGGAAAAAGGAAGACCTTTCTCTCTCTCTCTCACTGTCTGTAACTCTACCTGTCAAAAAAAAAAAAAAAAAAAAAAAGTATCTTCTCTGACCACAACAGAATGAAGGTGGAAACCAGGAAACCAGTTACAAGAGGAAGACTGGGGCCAGCACTGTGGCACAGCGTGTTAAGCTGCCACTGTAGTGGGCTTCTTGGACAGAGAGACAGGACACCGAGGCTCTGAGCAGGAAGCAGTTTTATTCATGTTGGCATGAGGCCCAGTGGATTGACATCCCAAAGACTGAGCCGGGAACAAAGTCCAGCGTTACCCTGTCTACAATCTTGGTTTCTTTGTCTCCCTTAAGTGATTACATATGTTCAGATTGGGTACTTTAAGGCTATAGGGTTGCACATGCATGCATACACAGTTACTGGTTAGTTGCTCTTTCTTTGTTCTGGGAGGTTGTTAACTGTCCCTTTTATCCAAGAGGACCCTTGACTTTCCCTTTGAAAGCCATACCTCACCACTTGCAGCACCAGCATCCCATATAAGTGCCGATTGGCATCCCAGTCCCAGCTGCTCCCCTTCCAATCCAGCTCCCTGCCAATGCACCTGAGAAAGCAGCTAATGATGGCCCGCATGCTTGGGCCCCTGCTGTTTTGTGATTTACTGTGGCCATTTGGGAAGTGAATCCATAGATGGAAGATCTCTTTCTCTCTGTTCCTCCTTTTCTCTCTTTTTTAAAAGATTTATTTTTTTGAAAGGCAGAGCGACACAGAGGCAGAGAGAGAGAGGTCTTCCATCCGCTGGTTCACTCCCCAAACAGCTGTAATGGCCAGAGCTGGACGGATCCAAAGCTGGGAGCCAGGAACCAGGAGCCAGGAGCTTCTTCTGGGTCTCCAACGTGGGTGCAGGTGCTCAAGCACTGGGCCATCTTCTATTGCTTTCCCAGGCACATTAGCAGGGAGCTGGATCAGAAGTGGAGCAGCCGGAACTTGAACCGGCACCTAAATGGGATGCCAGCATTGCAGGCAGTGGCTTTTCCTGCTACACCACAGCACCGGCCCC